GAGTAATTCCTGTGAGAAATAAGATGATATAGATAATTATATCATACTAATATATCCTAAACCTTAAGATGATATAGATAATTATATCATACTAATATATCCTAAACCTGAAGATGATATAAAGCTGTTTATCAGAATGTAACTTATTATTATTATTATTGAAAAATAACGATATTGTAAATGTTAAGTATGAAATAATGATTTTTATAAACATATAATTAATAAACAGTTTCAAGAAACAGAAAAGTAAATGACAGTAGAAGACAGAAATTTGTAGATCAGAACTTGTCAGAATTAACATTATTCTAAACTATGTTGAAACATTTATTTAGGATTTTGGAAATACGAAACAAAGAATACGAACATGTGCATTCTAGTGTGATTATCATTAAGGCCTATTGATTTTTGTTGGTTTCATCTGTCGCTAATAGATGGAGCAGTGGCTGCCAAGGTCATTATATTTACGATTGAATTGTTGTCGCTGGGAAACCATTAGCCCTGATAAAGTTTTGTTTGCTGCAATAATGCAACCTGAGATAGGTAGTGTTGTTTGTCACGCTCATATTAGTAATAAATAACATACGTCACAGATAACAATAAAGAACTTGTTTATCTGAAGCCCCACTGCTCTGAGAGAGAGTGTTATTACTCTCACAATGATTGCTACTGTGCTGTTATCTCTTTGTGGACCAGTAACGAAGGCGGACTGACGTCAAATGTTGTTTCTCGTTAACAAACAAAGAATTGTTTTTGTTTTGAAGTGTTTGGTACAAAGCGCATGCGTACAAGTTAGTATCACGATGATTAAAAATCACAGATATACAAAAACAAAACAAGTATTTAGTACCAGAGAAAACAAAAAAACAAAGTAACGTTATATTAGAATCCGTTAGATCAATTCATTCTTCAAGGTTTCAATGAAAATTTTACGTGTTTTGTTTTAGCCTAAGACCATCTGACGTTTTATGGAAAACGTTTTTTTTTCTTCTTGGAAACAAATGTTGTTTGGTTTTTAATTTTTGTATTTAAAATACTATATTTGGACAATAAACATTAAACAATGTCAGTAAGTACATTTAGAAGATTGTTGTAATAATATTTTATAGCTTTGTAATTGTTTTATTACACACACGTGACAATTAGTTTCACAGAAAGTATTAGCTTTCATAGTCGAAAACAGTTTAATAATATTAGTTTCTATTATTCAGACTTCCTTGTTGAATTCTCTCTCATCACACATAAAGTAATGATATAGAAAACTCCTGGTCAAATATGGATTGTTTATACTTGTCTAATGTAATTTTATTTTTGTAGTGTCCGCTGGAAAGTCTCTGTATTCTATATAATAAAACTTAGAGAAAATATATTCATTCCTTCAAAGTTTGACATTTCTCACAAGAGTTACTCAAGTTAGTTTGTTATTTCTCACAGGAATTACTCAAGTTAGTTTGATATTTCTCACAGGAATTACTCAAGTTACTTTGTTATTTCTCACAGGAATTACTCTAGTTACTTTGTTATTTCTCACAGGAATTACTCAAGTTACTTTGTTTCAGGTTTAGGATATATTAGTATAGATAATTATGTCATACTTCATCTTCAGGTTTAGGATATATTAGTATGACATAATTATCTATATCATCTTCAGGTTTAGGATATATTAGTATAACCTAATTATCTATATCATCTTCAGGTTTAGGATATATTAGTATAACCTAATTATCTATATCATCTTCAGGTTTAGGATATATTAGTATGACATAATTATCTATATCATCTTAAGGTTTAGAACATATTTATAGATAATTATGTCATACTGATGATTCAGGTTTAGGATATATTAGTATGATATAATTATCTATATCATCTTCAGGTTTAGGATATATTAGTATGAATAATTATCTATATCATCTTCAGGTTTAGGATATATTAGTATGACATAATTATCTATATCATCTTCAGGTTTAGGATATATTAGTATGACATAATTATCTATATCATCTTCAGGTTTAGGATATATTACTATGACATAATTATCTATATCATCTTCAG